CTGTGGGCAGGCAAGCCCAGCCAGAGAGGGACTCTGCCTTGGCGCCCTGCCACCCACCTGCTCTGCCTTGTCTGTTGGGGCAATGAAGACTATGAACGGGGAGAGCTCGGCCGTGCGGACGATCTTCAGGGTCTGTGGAGAGAGGGGTGTAGTTACCAGAGTGTGGCCATTCCTCAGCGTGGGAGCTGTCCCCCACTACCCCATGCTGCCCCCCAGCCAGGGTTTGATGGTGCCGGTGATGCAGTGGTGGGCTAAAGGGGCCACCCCTTGCCTGGGGCCATAGGCTCTCTAGGTGGATTCCTGAGGCTGGGGGTAGTCAGGTGATGTGGGGGCAGCTGGGTGAAGCTGGAGCAGGGGTCCCAGCATGGCTTCCCCTGCACCTCATGGGGGAGGATGTAAGGGCATCCCCAGCCCTGCTCTGGGCTGGCTACTGGACACAAATGCCACTTTGCAAAGCAGCACCCCCATGCTTGGTGTTGGAGAGGGCAAAGGGTCCCTGTGTGGGGCCTGTGCTGGCCCTGCACCCCCACTGCCACGGCAGCCTGGCCCTGCTGTCACAGCCAGGTGCATGTTGTGATGGGGAATACCCTCACTGCACCCATGTCTTGGGAATGGAAATGCCACCCCAGCACTCCCTGGCTTTTTCCTTTGGGAAGAGTGGGTGGGCAGTGCAGCAGGGAAGACAGGGACATTCACAGCCAGCACACGGTTAGTTCAACCTGTGGCAGCCCCAGCCTGCCCACCCCTTCCCCTGCTCCCTACCTGGGGCTCAATGTCCAAAATAGCGACTTTGTCCTGCTGGTGGATCTTGTGCACTGTTTCAAACTTGGTGCCAAACATGTTTCCCTGGTAGCTTCCAAACTCCAGGAACTCATTGGCTGAGATGTCCCGGGTCATTTCCTCGGTGGAGACAAAGTAGTAGTCCTTCCCATCCACCTCATTCTTCTTCTGGGGGCGTGTGGTGTCTGGGAAGGGAGGGAGATGGTGAGCACTAGCCCCCAGAAGGACTGGGGAACAGAGTGGAGTGGGCAGCCTCTGCTCTGCGTGACCTGGGCATCTTGCTTTCCCTTTCTGAGCATGGGGCTAGGGCATGGAGGACCTGTGTACCTCAAGACTAGGCTGTACTAATCCCCTTTTAACTCCTTCCTGCTTGGGACAAGTAGGGAACTCAGCCAGCCCGAGGAACTCAGCCACTGGGATGTGAAGAGTGAGGTGTCTCTGCAATGTGGGCGGTAGCAGCCCTGCAGCCATCTGTGGGTAGGTTCAGCCCATGGGACAGCAGGCAGGGAGGCCCTACAGTGCCCTGTGTGGTGGCCTCTGACATCGAGGGCTTGGTAGCACTGGAGGAACATTTTCCCACTTCTAATCTGCTGTCAGAAGGTCCTGGCTCAAGGAGGTGATAGGAAACGTGCCCTGTGCTGCGCACCCTGGCTGGGTACTTACATGGGGGTGGGTACATGAACTTCTCCGGGTTGTTGCTGAGCAGAGCATTCTTGATGTGGCTACGGCCCACGCCGCTGGCCCCTGCAGAGAAGGACGGATGGATGTTGGAGCTGGGCTCAAAGAAGCCTGGCACAAGATACTGGGACCCCTCTGCAGCTCTGGGTCTGAGGAAAGGTGCAGAGATCCTGGGGCCTTGCCCAGGATCTGCTTCCTGAGCTGGTCCGTGGTGTCTACCAGCCCTGGAAGAGGCTCTCCCTGCCTTGGGCACGCTCACCTCCAGTCCCTGCTGGAGGCAGAGGTGGAACCGGTGCCTGCTGAGCAGCCAGCATGGCTCGGCTGCATGGGCTGCCCATGCCCATGGGGTCCACCAACAAGTGCTCAGCACCCGCAGCATGAGAGTGCTTGCTTTGGTGCAGCTGCACAGACCAGCGCTGCTTTTAATAAAAATTATCCATACTTAGGAGCTGGAAACTCCTGAATTAACTCTAACTCAGCATCACAGTGCAGGTGCCAGACCATGCAGAATACTGCATGGAGGAGGTCAGCCTGCTTGGTGACCGCTGCAGGCAGAAAAAATGCTCCCCAGAGCTTAGTAGGTTTTGAAGGGCAGTGCTGCCCCAGCCCCTGTCCAGTCCTAGTTCCCCCGGGACCCACCACAGGCAGCCCCTGTGCTGCAGAAGATGCCTGGGGCAGGACCTACCGATGAGCACCAGAGTCTTCCTCTTGAAGGCAGGCAGCCTCACCACCTCCTCATATGAAACCACATCCAGCTGATCAAAAACTAGGGTGGAGGAAAAACGAGACAGCAAGTGGTCAGAGCCAGGTCCTCAGGCAAAAGGAGGGAGCGATCAGGACTGGGTTGGGAGCTTGTCCCTGTTTGGCTGCTTGGGGAAAAGGGCAGCAGCCTCAGCAGCAAGCAGCATGTGAGGTGTAGACGGGGTGCTGGGGAGCTGGACCAGCAGCTGCCAAAGAAGCCACGGTTGCTCTTGCGCAGTAATTCTGCTCAGGACAGTAGGACCTGGGAGCAGGGTGGGGAGGCAGCAGGATGTTGCAGGGAGCTTGTTGCTGGGGGAGCTTTATTTATCTTGCTGATTTACGGCCTTGTTTGTTACTGGTTTGAGCTGCAGGCCGGGCTAGGAGCCAGCATGTCCTCAGGCACCCGCCTTTGCCGGCCCAGGGCATGCTTAGCATGGGGTGTTTGCACAGGCGGCTGAGGGGCAGGCTCTCTGGCCCACCAGGGACATGGCTTGGCAGCTGTGGGAAGCAGTTTGGGCTGCTCCCTAATTACTGTGCAGCAGCAAGGCCACTGCCTGCCCTGCATTCAGCAGCCTGCGAAGTTTGAGGGCCCAGGAGCCCGACCTCCCAAGGAGCTTGGGGCCATGAGTGCCAGGGATTGTCACTGTAGAAGAGCAGAGGAGCTCAGTGCCTGGCTCCCACGTGAGCCAGCCCTGGCCTTGTGTGCTGCTACAGAGCTGCATGGGGACACAGCTGTGGCCACCTGAGGGGTATGACGACTTTGGAGAAGGGACTCAAAAAAGCTGACAGCTGTAGAGTATCCTCCCGAGGCCCCACTGCCAACACAGCTGGGCTGTTTGGTCTGACTCCCATGGAGGACAGACCTGCCCCTGCCCAGAGGCAGGAGTGATGGCCAAGGCTGGGGATAGAGCCCATTGCCCTACTCACACTTACTTGAGCTGTGCTTGGCCAGGTATTTATCTTTGCACTTCTTCTTCTTCCCAAAGGGGCTACAGCTCGGGGATTCGCTCTGACTGGACTGGGTGACGCTCGCCACACGCCTGCAGAGAGAGGAGGACACCACCATGGTACACTCTAATCCCTGGGGGAGCAGTGGGATTGTCCCTCAGACATGCAAGGGCAATAGGAGCAGGGTGGCTGCTGGGACAGGTAAAGGCTCACCGTGCAGCAGATGAAGGGGACATTTGCCTCCTTTTCCCAGCAGTGACTCTGGTGTTACCCAACATGGTCACACTCCTGGTAGACCTGGTCACTGTTCCCACCTCCACTCCCAGATCCAGCCCTTCTGGCCAAATCCAGGGACCTACCACTCCTGCAGCTCCGGAGAAGGGATGAGTCCCGCGGACTCAGTGCAGGAGCCCTCCACCCGGCCCTGCCACCAGTTGCTGTCGTCCTTGTTTATGATTTGAATCACGTCGCCGGTCTGAAACTTCAGCCCTGCTTCCTTGCAGGGGATCAGGTTGTCTTTTTTGGGGTCGTAGTCAAACTGTGCCCTCATGAACATCTGCAAAAGAGAGAGTGGGCTGGAGTCAGCATGGCCATGCAGGGTGGCTGAACTTGGTCATGTTCAGCTCCCAGCCTCACATTGCATCCCCTGGCAGTGACTGCAGAGCTGGCTCCAGGCACACCACGGTCCCTGCTCCAGGAGGGACCCCTCTTCCTTTCCAGGCCCCACGAGGCTGCATGGGGAGAAAGGAGATGCACAAAGCCTTGGGGGAAGCTCTTGGGCATGGAGCTGCAGTGCTGGGTGGGGGAGGGAGGAGGATGGCATCTTGGCCCTACTAGGAGCCAGTGAAATGTCTGCTGCTTCTAGGCAGGCCTGCATGCCCCGCAGCTGGTGCTTGAACCCTGACATGTAGCCCACCTGTAGGCTCTGGGTGCTGCACAGTGCTGGTGAGCCAAGCTAGCTGGAGATGAGTCTCACCACCTGGACCAACACTGTGCACAGCAACTGGGGTCTGCAATGGGGTGAGCACAGAGGAGCCATCACAACGGTGCGCCCTGCAATCCTATGTCCTAGGGACCCCACGGAAGGCCATGTCTCTATCCCCAGCTGCTGTGCCCTGACCTCTCCCCAGCACTGGGCAGTCCCCTGCATGGCACAGGGCCTTCTGGAGCCAAGGCTACGGTGTCATGTCCACCCCTGCCTGGGTCTGTCCAGGCCTCTTCAGCTACTCTCGCAATGTTATGTTCATCACAGCTGCAACTGGAAATGAGCTGCTGCTGCTTCCCAGGTCACTGTGCCACCCTCCTGGGGCTGGGGAAGCCCTGGGGACCAGGAAGGCGTGAGAAAGTGGCCTTTGTCCCTTCTGCTCGCTCAGCTCTTTGGGAGGGAGTCTACAGCGCCTGCTCCCACCAGGACAGCCCACCCTGCTGCCTGCCCCGGCCTCAAGACCTCCTGAAGCCAGCAGGCAGCCAGGTGCCCCTGGACTCTCGCTGCCTCCAAGCAGCTTTGCAAAGGTCAGGAGAGAAATGGCATGTGGCTTTCGCACACGGACCTTGTTTTCCAGGAAGGCTGTTCAGGAAGAACAGACCTTCAGAGAGCAACAGGATGGATGAGAGTCACCTATCCTTGGGAGGAGGGCACACCACACGTTCACCCAGCGTGTTCTGTGCTGCCGCTTGCTCTTGGTGCCTGGATGAATGGTTTCTTGTCTGAAACGCTGCTGCAGCTGCAATTTGTCTCTGGCCAGCATACCCAGCAAGATCAGGACCAGGTCAGGACTAGGTTAGGGGCAAAGCCAAGGCAGGATATGGAGGATGGGGTGTGAATGGCAGGGTTTAGGAACCTAAAGCTAAGCTAAGGTGGCTTAGCATAGACCTCACATTGCCCTTGTTCCCCTCCTGTATTTTTTTTTGCCCTGTGCGCCTGAGGCTGCTGGAGCCCCCAGTCATGCTGCAAAGTCCTGCAGGCTCGCCCACAAGTCATGGTTGCTCCCCATTGTTTGAGACTTCGGTGATCACTCAGGAGGGTGCTGGGCCCCGAGCTGGTGGCATGCCTGGGGCTGCCCAGCAGTTATGCCACCAGCAGGATATCCTTCTACAGGGGAAGCAGCACCATCAGACCCAGCCTCATGCTTGTGCTAATGCAAGCTTCCCCTGAGCACAACCCTATCAAGTTATTGATCCCAGAAATGCAACACATAGCAAGCGGGCAAACGGACTGATGTGGGGTGATGCCTATGTCCTGTCCTCAGATGTGATAAGCAGGGCCTGGAAAGTCATCCTCCCTGGGTAGGGTAGACCATGCTGTCCTTGGTCCACATTAAAACAATTTCCCACAGTATGTCCTCCTTCAGCAGTGCTGCTGGAGGCACAGGGCCAGCAGGACATGAATGTGGTTCCCTTTCACTGCCAGAAAAGCAGATCCATATGGATCAAGCTGTGACATGGGATCTCTCACAATGGAAGACAATAAAACCGGAATCTCCTTTCAGGATGAGGACTGATGCTTGCTTTGAAAGCACTCTCTGGCAGCAGGAAGCTGGCCATCAGCACAAACACACACAACAAGCACTGCCCAGGCACCTGCCTGGAGCCCTCTGCTCCCGCAGCCCTGATACCCCAAGCCAGACATAGCCAGGTCACGTTTGGAAAGACCCTCCCTTATACCAATCAGGAGTTAGCATCAGACAGCTCCAGGCATCACCCACGGACTGCAAAGGGCCAGCTCCAAATGCAACTGTGTTCTTTTTCTCAGAGGTAACTTTTACCCTGGCAGTGAGCTGGCTGGGTCAGGCCAGGGAGGACAGATGGACAGCAGGGAAGGGCAGACATGGGCCAGCGTTTAATAAACAAAACACATGCAAGGCTGGTTGAGCTGGAATGGGGACAGCATGGGCTTAGCAAGAAACAGAGACAGTTTTCACTTGCCACCACGTTCAGAGACTTCTGCTTCTCCAGGTAAGGAAGGAGGGTGACATGGGCTCCCTCAGCCCCATCCCAGCACCATCCAGCCCCCACCTTCTGCCTCCGAGCTCCTCTCCCACTCCTGCCTGTCCACGATGTGGGGGCTGCACTGGGGTTGGCTCCTGCACCCAGAGACAGGACAGCATCCCAGGCACCAAGCACTGAAGTCTTGGCAGAGGAGCCAGCCCTCCCCACTATCCTGAGTATTTTGGCCACAGCAGGACTTCAAAGGCAAAGCCAGCTAGGTGCCACCCCCTGCCACAGCACGTCACCCCCACCCTGGCAGTGGCAGCAGGCCCGAGGAGCCGCCTTCCTCTCCCCTGCTGCTTCCTTCCTCCCACTCACTGCTCACAAGTGTGCTGGCAGCATCCGGACCTACATCATCCTCCTTGTGGCTGATGCACCAGACATCAGTGATGGCGGGGAGCAGCGAGAGCCTGCTGCTGTACCTGGAGGTGCTGCTGTGGTCCTGCAACGGGGATATGGCTCTAACAGCCGCAGCTCTGAAGGTGGCAGGAAACTCTTGTGCTTCCTGGTGTGCACACACCGCTGCCCTCCCATCACCAAACACTGCACACATGTACCACTGTGTCTCAGGCACCCCAGGCCTGTGTTCCTACATACACACTGAGTAAACACATCCACACAGGGGCAAAATCTGCTCGTTTGCAGTGATGTAAGTGCAGGACAGGTCCCTTCATCCTCCAGCACCTCAAGCAAGGTGACCAGGCAGCCATCCCCTTGTCCTTCCCCTGGCTCAGCACAGCTCTCTCCCCAGCACCAGTCCCCCATGGTTTGCTCTGGTCCCACCTGGCCCCACAGCCATGTCCCGGCACAGCCTATGGGTCTGGAGGCTGCACTTACCTGGAGAGCAGGGAGGCGGCTTTGTTGGTTGGGAATTACTTTTATTGAGACCATCCCCTTGGTTTCTTTCTAGTGAACAAAGGAAGGGAAGAAAGAAGAGTTGGAGGAGGTGGTGCCTGGAGGCAGCCTGACAGCAGCAACCTGTGCAGGGAGCTGCTGAGTGCCAGGACCCACAAAGCCAAGGCTCCTGGGTGCTCCCAGCCGTGCTGTGATGCTGGGGGACACCACAGCCCGGTCAGAAACAGCTCTGCTGGGGCTGGGCTAAGAGCCATGGCAGCATAGCTTTGCCATGCTTGTCCCGTCCCCGTGGGGGGACACCAACACCCCCAACAAGGGGCTGGCTGTGGGCACTGCTAAGCATCACCAGAATGAACATGGAGATTTGTATTATCTCCAGCCTGGCTGCCCCAGTGAGGAGAGGCTGGTTCTGCCAGGTCCTCTCCACCTGTCCCCTTCTCCCCCCACTCTTGCTCCTGCCCTCCTGGTGACATTAGAGGCACAGCACTCCCTTGCTTGCCACAGGCCAGATGCACTGCTGCTCCACGTGCTTTACAAGACCTACGTGGTCCTGTTGGGACAACCACATTTGGAGGCTTGGAGGGGCCTCCTGGGCCAACTGCCCTTCTCAGGAGGCAGACAAAGACAAGCTCCCCGTTGGTCCCACTGTCTGGAGCAGAGAAGTCCTGCCACCAGGCAGGAGAGGACCATGGCACTGCAGCAGGGCCAGGCCTCCTGCTTAGGCTGCTGGTAGGTGTCCTCAGCACCACCGCCACCTCGCTCTGGCCAGGTCCCACATGTTGGGCGTGGATCAGGATGGCCTCAGTGTGTGAACCCAAGGCAGGTCTAAGACCCTGTCCAAAGCTGTCTCTAGCAAGGGCCTGGCAGGATCACCGTGACCTCAGCAGCAGGAAAATGGCATCAGGGTGACCTGCAGGAGCAGCTCAGGTCCACAAGAGCAGGCAGACTCTGGACTGGAGTTGCACACCAACCTTGGCAAGCAGAGGTGGTTTCCAAGCCCCACGCACATCAGCAGATGTCAGAGACCCAGCCAACAGCCTTCGCTGCTGCTCTCGGGGAGGCCAGAAACAAGCAGCAAGCACATACCACCAAGGCTGCATAAAGAGACCCAGTGCTTGGCTGTATTACAGCACCTCAGCACAGTGTCCCTGGCTCCTGCTGCATCACACTGCTGCAGGCAGCTGTCTGTTGGCTCTGGTATCTAGGAGGGGGTGAATGCTCAGCCAGCATGCATATCTGCAGGCCAAAGGGGTCCCTCCCGGGGAACAGCCCTGCCAAACACAAATACCTACCAGCATCTTCTGCAGCTGGTCAACTGAGTGGTTGCTCACACTCTGCCCATTGATTTCTATGATTTCATCACCCACATGAAGGGAGCCTGCCAGCAACAGGAGAAATGTGAAAATGCAAGACCGGACAAGAGCTGCTCACCAAACCCAAACTACACAGCTCCACTAGCGTCCTGATCTCCTGGGCAAGCTGTGGCCAGGACACTGGTGTTTGCCTGGGCAATGCTTGTGGAGCCACACGTCACCTAAGCACATGGGACTAAAGCACAAGGGGAATGAATTCTTCCCCCTCCACCAAATACACACACTTCATCCAGCCTGAAGGTCACCAGGTTGCTTTCCACTCTGTGTCCTTCAGCGCTTTAGACTGGTCAAAGCACCTGTTTCAGAGTTATTCAAACCCAACCCCAAGCACCTCACCTGAAGCCAAATGACAGCCTCCTTACAGAGCCTTTAACACAAGCATTCTTGACTTTGTGTGTTTTCAGTTTATATACCCAGCCAGATCACAGCCTCAGATATACTGCTATAAATCAGGCTCCAGTAACGTTATTGGAATGGCTCCTGGGTTATTTTGGCAGGGGTAAGCTCAGACTTCCCACTTGGATCCAAGGCTGGAAAAGGGGGCCTCTTCTTCTAAGCACAAAACATCTCATTTCCATGCCCCCTTGGCAAGACCCAAAACCAGAAAATAGCCCCTATTTATTTCTTTTGGCACCTTCTTCTGGTCTGCAGAGCCAATCCACAGCAAGCCTGTGCCACCTGTGCACTTTAGGAATGGGAAGAGCTTCCCCCACAGTCTCTGGGGTATGATCCATCTTTTGTTACAGTGACCCTATCATGAGACGGAGACAGACGGTCTCGAGTTCCTTTTTGGGAGAGCCCTTCCTGCAACCCTTCATTGCTTCCTAAAGCCTCCAGTGTATTAACATGACAACCATGCAGAGAGACCAGCAAGTCCTGAGTTCCTGACATATTCCTAGTGGAGGAACGGACACAGACGTCCACATCACAGGGGAAAGCCAGCAGTGCTGGGGGGCTGCCTTATCTCTGCACAAAAAGAAACCAGCTGCAGACGTGCACCCCATACACTGCCTCTACAAGGGCCTCATTACCTTGTCTGTGAATCATGCCCCCGTGGAAGATCCTGGCCACCATGCAGCTCTGCTTGTCGTTGAGCTTCAGTGTGATTCCCTGGAAGACAGGAAAATCCATTACTGCTCGCTGGAGGGGAGAGCTCCCGCATTCTCAGCAAAGTCCTCTCCAGGCCCATGTCCACGGTGGGCTGCGCAGTGGCTGGGGGGAAGCCCCCTGCTTGGCCAGCCCAGCCTGCTGCAGCTCCTCTTGGCACAAGCATCACCACCTTTGATGGGGCTTGCTCCAGGTCCCCAGGCAGGAGGCAGGATCCAGCACCCTCTTCCTGTGGCCAAGGTCTCCAGCGATCTCTTGCTTTCCCCGAGGCCAGCCTGTTGGCACGGCTCTACCTGCCCCTCCTCCCCCCGGGTGTCATTAGGCTTTAGGATCTTGCCAGCTCTCACCATGGGCTCCTCTGTGACCTTCTCGAACTGGACAAGGCGTATCTTCCGCACCTCACGGCCATTGCTGTGGGAGGGGCTGCCCAGAGTTGCTGAGCCATTGGTATAAATGTCCTCAGTCATGGTGTTCGGGGACTGAGTGATGGCCTGTCGGGGCAAAACAAAGACTGGGGTTTAGGGGCTCCACCTGAACGAGGCCTGGGAGTGCTGGCTCCTCGCTGTGCGGCTGAGCTACTCCACTGTATTAGGGTGCCTGGGGTGCAGATGGGGCACAGGGGGAGGAGAGACCCATGTGCTAGAGGACAGGACAGTAAGAGCAAGAAAAGAAAAAGACCGAAAGAGCTTCACCCTTGAAGATGTGGGTGTGGGCTTGATCTGCAGTTTTCCAGCCTGGGAAACTCAGGAGGTAAGAAAACTTTGGAAAAGCTACAGGTAGCAGAAGCCAAAAGAGTCCACAGCTGATCATCTTCTGCAGCAATGAGTCCCAAACACTACTTGTGTGTCACAGCAGCAAAGCATAAAGCCCAGGACAGCTGCACCGAGTGAACGGAGCAATTTGGGACTCACCCCTGAGAACTGGGGCCAGGCTCTGCTCTTGCTCAGTTTGCAAGGTCAACCTTTCCTCATTTACGTCAATGGGCAACCAACACGGTGCAGAGCCACATCCACATCCAGGCACTGAAGGCAACGTGCTCCCAAGCCAGCTAGAAACTCCCTGTTCCCCTCCCCAGCTCGCAGCTACAGGCTAGTTTGTGCTGGCCAGCACTACGAAGCCAAGTGGGGGCTTTCAGCCATGGGGAAAACTCTGTTCTTCGTCTCCAGCAGGTGCTGGCACTGGGGCAGGTGAAGAGTGCATGGGGTCCCAAGCAGAGACCTCCAAATCTGCCCTGCCATGCAGCAGGGACACTGCAAAGTGAGCGGCCAGCTCCTAGTCTGAGAAGGCCTGGCACAGTCCTGTTAAACCTCTCAGGCACACTGGGCAACGTCCCCACACAGCTTGCAGACGTGCCAGTTTGGCCCCAAGTACAGTGGACTTCCCTCGAGCCTCTCCCAAATTGGTACTGGCCCAGCAAAACCCAGGCCAGCTTTGATCTGCTGCCCCTGCCCACCTTGTCAGCATGCTCAAATCCCCATGCTAGCCCACAAGCCAAAGTAAACCCTCCTGGCTGCCCCACTCCACACCAGACTGCTGGCTTTGCTGCCCAGTTTGCAGCTTGCACCATCTCTGCTTGTGAGGCACAGCCAGCAAACCTGCAGGGACTCCCAGCAAGGTCCTCGCTGGCTTTAGTCCCGCATCAGCGACGCGATACAACACGCCCAGCCAGGCAGAGCCAACACCTCTCCCTGCTGCACGCCGACTTGCCAGCACCCGACCGAGCACTGGGCCCTGGGGCTCTGTGCCAGCAGCTGGGGAAGCAGCAGCCTGACCCCGCCACCCCGGCTTGCTCTCACCCACCTCAGGCACCTGGCCTGGAGCGGAGAAGAGGCTGCAGCCCCATGCTGCCAAGGGGCGAGATCCAGCCAGGCTGTGGGGAGGTTCATGCAGGTGCAACTGAGGTGAAGAGCATTTGCTGGCGGAGTGCAGCCACAGCACTAAACCACAACAAAATTAGCTTTGGTAGGGACGTGCTGAAGTACTGCCAGGCTGAGACAGTGGTCCAGCCCCGTGCAACGGCCGAAAGCAGGGAGGGAGCCAAAGGAAGGGGCGGCAGAGCCAGGGCTAGCCAGGCCAGCGGGAGAGGCACCAGCAGAGAGGGACGGACCAGCACCGAGGCACATTGCAGCCTCAATGAAAGGGCGCTGGCGGGGCTGGGCTAGGGTGGGAAGGGCGCAGGGAGCCATGTGCCCATGCTGCAGCGACAGGGAAGATGCATGATTTATTTTTAAGCCAACTACTTCTAAAAGAGCCAACCAACCTCCTCCTCAGAGGAAAAAGGCAGCCACGTGGGCTCCGGCTGCCAACAGCTTCAACATGGATGAGGAGGCTGAATCCCAGCCCAGAGCAGCGCCCAGGCCAAGAAGTCGTGAGGTGAAATGAAGAGCGACTCACAGCCCCCCAACCTGGCCTGCCAGCCCCTGCAGAGCATGCTGCTACCATGCCGTTCGCAGGGCAGAGGGTCAGATCCAGCAGTGCAGGTGCCTAGAGCTGTCCCTTGGCTCTCTGCTGGTTGTCCCAGCTCTGCCGAGCCAGTGGATGGGAGGAGGAAGAGGAAGACGAGCAACTTCTCCAGCCCTGCCTGAGGTCAAAGTGCCTGTGAGGTGGTTTGAGTCAGCACAGATCACACTTATCTTGGTCAGGCCTTGGGAAAGCATTACACCGTGCAATCCCTGGCTTTAAACCTCTAGGCTCAGCAGAGCCCAATGACCCAGGACACAGCACAGTCCGCGCCAGGGGCTGGGAGTTCCCGTCCCCATCACCCCTGCCAGCTGAGCCTCCTGGCCCTGACCTTTGCTTTTTGCTGAGAGCTGGAAAAAACACCCAGCCCTTGACGCTGACGCAGCACCAATTCTGTCGCCCTGGCGACTCCCAGAGAACAAGCCTTGTCACCAGAGATGGCTGCTGTGCCTGGGGATGGCCACCAGCCATTTGCTGGCAGCTCTGAACACAGCAGGGTCCTCCAGCAACTCCCTCTGCCCCAAATACAGCCATGCTGGGATGGTGTGGGCTTTTGCTGACCACACTGGGAAGCCAGTGGATGGGGATGTGAAAACACCCAGCTCACGAGGAGGACCAGGACTCATGGGGTGGCAGGTTCCAGCCCCAGTGTTGGTCATCCAGAAGCCGGAGACAGAAGACGTGCACAGCTCTCGCAGTCCATGCACGTGAGCCAGCCGGCTGGATAACCTACCCTGCACTCTCCTGGCAACTGCCATGCTCTCGGCTGGCTTGGCCCAGCATAGCCTGTGACCTCAAGAGTCTTTCGAGTCATGCTGGCAGCAGGCCAGACCGTCCTACTTATGCACTTCTCCGCAGGAAACATCTGACAGTGCTGCTAAAAGCCGGTTCTGTGGCCACCAGCCACTGCCAGTTCTGCACAGCCCCGGGCTCAGTCACTGCTGGGGCCAGCCTTGCGGCAGACACGGGGCGAGGAGGCTGGGGGGCTGAGCTGTGCAATAGGGTTGCTGGGTGCTGGGCAGGGCCGAACAGCCCCAGTTGGGGCTGCTTGGCCCCACCCAGCACTCAGCAGCCCTATGGGTGCCTTGCAGCTGGGTGGCAAGGGTACAAATCCTCACGCACAAATCCTTCTCCAGGTGGCAATGCACAGAGGAGCCACCAGCTCCACAGGTCACAGAGGTGCACCCCAGCTCCCTGCCTGCATTTCCCTCAAGACTCTGGATTTCTGCCCCATATCCCGGGGCAGAGGGAAGGACACCAGCTCCCTGGGCAGTGTTTGCCAAGAGGGAATTTGGTGAGTGTAGAGCAATCCTCGGTGAGAACCCCAGGGCTTGGCATCCTGTCCCCTGGCAGGGTTAGTGCTGGCTGCCAGGGTTGCTCCTGCTGCTGTGCTGGCTCAGCCAGGCTGCACGCCACTGGGCAAATCAAACATTAACTGGGCAGCTTGTTTGCAGGAGGCTGAAGCAGCACTTGGGGAAAGCAGCACCCTAGTGCAAAGGGCACGTTTAGTGGTTTGGTTCCTGGGCTCTCCTTGCTGCTCTAACAAAGAGACTTCAATATCAGGTGGCCTTGGAAGAGCAGGGCTCCCTGGCAAGCATGTGGAGAAAGGTCAGATGCTGCTGGCTTTGCAAAGCGGGCCCCCAAAGTACAGCAGCTTGGATGCAGGAGGGAACCCTGGAGCCGGGATCCCCTGGGATTGCTCTCTCAGCTGGCAGGGAGACACATTCTGCTGCCCACAGTGAGCAACAAAATGCCAGCTCCCTCCAGGAATCATCACCCCTCACATTATAATCACTGTAGGTGTGTGCAAGGAGGCTGGGCACTGTTTGGTGCAGATGTCCTGGCCCAGAAAACTCTCCTCCCGCCTTCTAGTGCTCCAACCTCGCCTCCCCACCGTCCAGCAGATGCGTGCATCATGGTCTCAGTACAGCTTAAAAAACACAGCAATGTGTAAAAAGAGCAAACTAGCAAAAAAAAATTGAGCTTGGGAGTTGCTTTTGGGCTGCTCCAGCAGGCTCCAGAGCAACAGCCACGTGGACATTTAGAAGTAATTAATCCCTGCCTTCTGCTGGGGGCCACTGCCTTCTCAGGTCTGCCAGCACAACTGCAAGAGCAACCTCACCCAAGACCCCTTCCAGCAATATGATCCAAGTTTTTATAAAAAAAAAAAGAAAAAAAAGCACTTAAATCAAACAGGATTACATTGCTGACACTGGGAAGAGGTGCAGCAACACCAACAGGTCACAGTGGGAAGGGGAACAGAGAAATAGGACGGACACAAACAGTCGTGGAGGCCAGAAGATGCCGCCAGCTCTGCATGCCCTCACACTGACTCCAGATCATGAAGTGCTGCAATGGAGAAGGGACAGATTTTCAAGGGAGCACAGTTGGTTTTGCTGAGGCACCATCTTCCCACCAGGAAAGGCTGATGCAGCTTTCCAGATGTGTTTGTGAAACCGGTCACCTCCAAGGGAGAGTCAGTAAAACCACAACACTGACAGAAGAAATCTTCAGATGCTGCCCAGCTGTTCCATCCCCACCTTCCAGAACAAGCCCTGCAAAATGGCTTTTCCCCTGCAGCTGTTACAGACTGGAACGTGGCAAAACGCATTTCAGATGAAAAAGTTGGAACCAGCCCTCCCCACTTCATTTGGGTAAAGCCCAGAAGTTTTGCTCAGCTTTCAACCACTAGTTTTGCCTGTGGTCATTTCAGGATTTGGTGTCTAGGGACTGTGGCCTCGGTCTGCTCTGGAGCTGGCACCAGTTGGATGCCAGGAACTGCTGCCCACAGGGAAACACAGTATCCCCTCTGCACCCTCAGGCTCAGCTCTCTCCAGAAGTACCCTCCTCTTCTCCACCGCACTCCCAAAGGTCACATTCACTGCCCATTTTACAGCTGGGGAACTGAGTCACGGCTGATAAGGGGAGATACCCAAGGTCACCCTGCCAACCAGATGCACAGCTAGGAATAAAGCCCACACCTCTTTGGTAGGTGTATTTGCCAGTTTGGAGATAAGGAAAAGATATGCAGG